CTGAAGGTTTCAGTAAAATCAATCCAGTAATTCATGGGATATTTTGCTAACACAGAGACAAGGTTTGATAATTGGCAAAAATGTAAAGCTCTTGCACATGTTTTGTGCTCAAAATACATGTTGGTGTTCAGTCTCAGCTACTACCACACAAAATCTTAGCTCAACATCTGTGAAATTGAGTAAGACACCATTTTTATGTTTCAGTCAGTGGTGGAAGATTGTATAATGTAACACGGCATGAAGCAGACGCAGCGACAGCAGATTACTGATTGAGAAAAGAAGTGAACTTGTGTAAAAAAAAAAATGCATAAACAATTCTAAAGAACAGAAAAAGTATAAAAACTAATAAACAGAATACATCCTAACCACGTGAATCTGAATAAATCAACAGTAACTGATGGACATTCCTGTACTCGTTGAATAGGAAACAAGAAGAAGCACAGTATTTGATTGTATGACGATGACAGCACTTCATTCCAGTAATAATGTGGCAGAATCTTGATCTGCAAGGTGCACAGATCTGACCAATACATCCTCGGTTTCACTTTATATACCGTCATTTAAATCACTTATTTCTGTTTGAGTCTACCGTAACAGAAGAAGACACATCATGTTACCAGACACGACTTGTAACAGAAACAAAGGGTAGCAAACGTCAAACATTAAGCAGTTCTTAAACCAATATGATCAGAATACTGCTTCTGCAACAAATCCAACAAGTCTGTGGAGGAAGCGCAACGCAATTCACTTCTAAAGTCCTAATCTGGTCATTGTTTTATGTGACGTTCTGTTAAACAGTTTTCTACAGTTTTAATCTCGTCAGTTGTGACATCAAGCGTAGAGCGCAGAGTACGGAAAAGAGGCAAAAGGCTTCATCGATGCTAGGCTAATGGTTAGCCAAACAAGGGCTAGCTCGAAAACAACATGCTGGCGTGAAAGAACGCGATGTTAGCTAATATTAAACCAGGCATTCTTTCACATCGGTACGCAGTTGAGTTTTATTTAATACTTTTTTAAAAGCTTGAATAAAAATACACGCTTGGCTAGCCATTAGCCTAGCATGGAAGAAGATGGTTGGCTGTAACTCGGTGCTCTGTGCTCCATGAATGATGTCACAGCTGATACTATTAATAACTATCTGACAGGTCACCATGTCAAAATATGCACCAGGTTATTCTTTCATTTCAAACAAAACCAGACTATTTGACTTGTAACAGGAAGCGGGCCAACCTGTGACCAAAATGAGGGAACTCTGTAGCAAAATAAATATTACAAATCAACCTAAACTGATATATATATATATATATTTATTTATATTTCTAACAGCGAGATTTCAACAAAGAATAAAAGCTGTAGCAACAGGACATGAGGGGAAAACTGACATGGAGTCTCTGTAAGAGACTGCTTCTGAACAGCACAAGGCCTCCACATGATGAAACGATGAAGACTTTTGTACAAACCAGAAGTCCACAGTGTCTGAACCCAACAGATCGGACCTTTTTAATCTAAATAAATCATGTGCTATGTTAAAGGTAAAAATTAATTTAATGATGGTGTTCAATTCTGGTGGTCTAATAACGAGAGCCTGGTGTTCAGGAAGTTACTCTGGAGTTCTAGGAGAACCACAAAAAAGAAAAAGTGTGTGAAAGAACGAGAAAATAAATACCATAATACATATAAAAACCTTCAATCTCGGAGAATTAAGGCATTAAAAGAATTTTGGCCATTTTATAATGGGTTGTACAATGTCTATAAAATGTATTCACCTCCTTGGATGTTTTATGCTTTTATTGTTGTAATAAATCAGGGGTAGTCAATATAAACAGGCATTTTAGACAAAACACAAACTTTGATGTCAAAGTGAAATCTAATTTCTTCCACGTTTAACCAATTCAATAAAAATATGTCATGTAAAATAAGTGCTTGAATGAATAACGTGACTGACCTAACTCAACTCGGAGAACAAAAGCACACGTGCAGGTCAGGGGATGGGTACACAAGGACTGTTAAACACCAGTCTTCCCCAAGAGTTCTGTTAAACCCATCAACAAGAAATGGGACACGTGTAAATCTACCAAGATCAGACTGTTCCCACAAACAGTAACCGTGCAAGAAGGAGAATAGCGAGAGAGGCCACCAATGCCCCTGGGAGCACTCTGAAGGTGTTACAGGCTTCAGCAGGTGAGATGGGAGAAACCGTACTGGCAACAGCTGCTGCCCTGGTTCACCAGTCTGAGCTTTATGGGAAAGCGGCAAAAAGAAAGTCACAGTTGAAAAAACAAACATTAAATCCTGACAAGTTTGGTAAATGTCACAGACAAGTTGGCAGTCGGTTCTTAAACGCTGCATTGGTGGTCTCTTCCTGTTCTCCCTGTACAGTTCCTCAGGTTGTGAGGATGGACTGCTCTTGGTAGATTTACACATGTACCATATTCTTTACATATTCTGATGATGGATTTAACAAACTCCTGTGGATTTTTAAGGCATTGAAAATCCTTTAGTATCCAACTGGACCTGTGCATTTAAAAGAGAAAAAAAGTCAAGTGAAATTAGGACAGTCACTTTTAAGGGGGCGAATATTTATGAAATAATTTACTTTATTTTTTCTTCTTTCGGCTGCTCCCGTCTTCAGGCATATCATCTCACACGAAGACTTGGCGATTGTTTTTACACCAGATGTCCTTCCTGACTCAACCACAGACACTGAGCTACCACAGCCCTCTGTGTGGAGCAGAGAGCTGCTATCAAGGACGCCTGGGAGAGCAGATGGTGGGGGATTAAGGTCCTTGATCAAGGGCCCAGAGTGGGGCAAATGAGGGTGGAGGCAGGTGTGGGTGTTTCACCATTTCCACCCACATTTTGATGTTGTCAGTATGGAGTCGAACCAGCGACCTTCTGATCACAAGCCCACCTTCTCTAACCTCTGCACCACCGCTCCCCCAATCATTTACTTCATATCACATATTTTTATTTAACTCTCATGTAGACATTTGATTTCACTTTGACCTTAAAGAATGTTTGGGGGGATATTTTTAAAGGTCATGATTGATTTATGTCAGCAGTAAAGGAATAAAACACCTGAGGGGTTTATTACTTTTTATTGGTGCTGTATGTTTAAACTAGAACGATATATTACCAGTTGTAGATTGCTCTGTGTAAGACCTTAATATGGAGAACTTGAATTTATGAGTGACAGGCCTTGCTGGTTTAACAACCAGTCTGAACAGAACCAAGACAAATGTGGATCTCTGATCATAAAACTGCTCCAGTTTCTAAAGTTTCACAGCTGCTCATGCCAAAACATTTGCTTAGACCTTCATATTGTGGTGAACTTTGCTGGACGTTGTTCCTTGCATATAATTCTTTGTGAATAGCCGCAGCAGTGAGCTGTACTTGTGGTGAAGGCTGAGGCATTTTCAAAGGGATTACCATATTTCTGCAAAAAAAATAAAAAAAAACAGAATAGTGCAAAATTGTCACCAATGTTTGATTTTTATTTTTTAATTGTCTGCATTGTAAAGTAAAAAAAAAAAAAAATCCTGATGCATGCTCAATAATCCAGGTAGAAAAATCTAAAAAAGTTAAATCTGGTTCTCTGGACCACAGAACAACTGTGTCAACTCTTGAAACTGTGCCTGCAGTCAACCTACTTCACATATGGGGAGCAATATTATAGGCAGAAACATGGGTGTGCTATGGGGTCTCCAGTTTCTCCTATTGTTGCCAACCTGTACATGGAGGAGGTAGAAAAGAGAGCCTTGACGTCCTTTTCAGGGACACCACCAAGTCATTGGTTCAGGTATGTTGACGACACCTGGGTTAAAAT